AAGGCTCGTGGCCAGCGAAAGGTAGTTCAGGGTTATACCCTATCGACTGTCCCTATTAACTAATGAGAGCAGCAAACAGCAAACGTCCGAGGAGACGAAAGACAGAGTCATGAACACACTTAAACCTGAAGAACAAGGATTGAGAATTAAAAGAATCTCGAAGATAAGAAACGGAGGTGTGGCACTTGAAGTTCACAGTGAACAGTTGGAAAGAGTCAAGAACAATTTGGGAAATGACCTTGAAACCAAACTTCCTACTAAAAGGAGACCAAAGATGAAGCTTTATGATGTTCCTGCAAAGTCAGAAGAAACAGAAATCATAGAAAAGATTAGAGCTCAAAATTTTCCAGAAGAGCAGATAGAAGACTTCAAAACAAAAGTAAAACTACTCTTCAAAACTGGTCCCAGAGACCAATCTTCAGAACAATGGGTGATGGAAATAGACAAGGACATTCGAAAGAGAATTATGGAAAATGGAGGCAGGGTATTTTTACATAGTAACCAGATGCTATAGGTGCCATAAATGCGGGCATCTGGCTGCACAATGCAAGGCCAACATAGAGATCTGTGGACATTGCGCCAAAGAGGGACATTCCTTTAAGGTTGCCCTGAAAAGACCTGGAATTACAAATGCACAAATTGCCAGAGGGCAAATCAAAATCACAACGTTTCTTCAGGTAAGTGTCCGATCTATCAAAAGGAGTTAAGACAGAATCAAAGCAGCTATAGACTATGGACAACCATAACTATGTAAATAGAACAGCAAGGCAAAGAAACCAAGGCAAAGAAACCAAGTTCAGACACAAGTTGTGAACCATGTAAATATTGTAAATAATCCTGATAACAACACCAATTTGAGACCAAGACTAGGACAAGATAACTTCCTCTTCTAGGACAAATCAACCTACAAAAGAAGCCAGGAAGATCATTATAGATCACAAAATCGATTATCTAATGATACAGGAACCCTATAGCCAGCAAGGGCAGGTAAAAGGACTCGGAATGATGTCCTCAAATAGAGTAATTGGCAATAGATCCGATCTTTTGAGACCAATGGCGGCAATTGTCTGCGATCCAAAACTGGAACCCCTGGAACTTTCAAAATATGCAACAACGCACTTCAGCACTTCAGCACAATCAAAACAAACTCAAGCAGGGGGAGGTTAGTTTTGATATCCAGCTATTTCCAGTTTGCGGATCGCATTGAGCCATTCCTGGATCACCTGCAAACAATTATTGATGGTGAAAGACAAAACATGATAATAATAAGCATAGACGCAAATGCCCACTAACCTGCTTGGTTCTCTGGAGTGGAGGACGAGAAAGGTAGTATTATGCATGATTTTATAAATCTAAATGGACTGCATATCATTAATAGAGAAGGACAACTACCTACTCACATATCTGGAAACAATATAGACCTAACGCTAGCATCGAGAAATGTGTATAATCACATAACAAACTGGACTGTACATGAGGAATCCAGCATAAGTGACCATAGATTGATCACTTTTCAGCTCGATTTAACTTTAATAGCAAAATCTAATGAGGTGAAAGGATAAAACCTCAAAAAGGCGAACTTCCATCAACTAAATGCACACATAAGACCGCACATGAGAAGAACCGCAGAAAGTGATGAATCCGAAGATCCAGAGGAACTTTCAAGACAAGTCAACCAGGCTCTACAAAGGGCATGTGATGCAGCAATCCCAAAAAGGACCGACCGACCTAAAGCTGTGCCATGGTGGACGCAAGCATTAAACCATCTGAAACAAAACAAAAACAGACTTAGAAGGAGATACCAAGCATGTTGTGAGTGCAGGGTCAAGCTGGCTAAACTAGCAGCTTACCGACTTGCTGATAGAAGATATAAGCAAGAAATAAAAACAGCAAAGCAGCTAAGTTGGGAGACTTTTGTAAGTGAAAGTATAAATGAAAATCCATATAGCCTAGCCTACAACATCGGGGCAGACAAAGTCAAAACCAAGGAAGTGCTATCCACACTGAACACAGGCTTGATACACACAAATGACAATATTGAAACTCTTATGGACACTCTTGTGCCCGATGACAACCCTGAACAAGAAACGGAAAGGCAAATAGCCACAAGAAAAGCACGCATTTGAAGACAAAATCATCAACTCAACAGGGATTGGACTCCCCTTCACCGAGGTGGAATTGGATGATGCAATAGGAAAGGCCAAACTAAGAAGAGCCTCAGGCCCGGATAGGATTCCAGCAGAGGTATACAAGGAGCTAGACAAGGAAAATAGAAACTACCTCTTGAATCTCTATAATAGATTTTGGAGACACGGGACATTTCCTAAAGTCTGGAAGATTGCAAGACTTAAGATCATCAAAAAGGCAGGACCAAGAGACTGGTCAAGACCAGGGTCCTACAGGCCAATCAGCCTTCTCCCTGTTGGGGGCAAGATTTTTGAACGACTCATAGCAAACAGACTGACAAATTACATCGAAAGTAATGACCTTCTGAGTCAGAACCAGTTTGGTTTTCGTGCCAGCAAGAGCACCACTGATGCAATATCCAAAATAGTCCAAACCACCAGAGAAGCTCATGAAAAGTATGTCATAGCAATCATGGTTGACATAAAGGGAGCGTTTGACTCCCTAGGTGGCCGGAAATCACTCGAGCTTTGGAAGAAGTCAATGTCCCAAGGGATATCACCACAGTCATCTTAAGCTACCTTAGTGACAGAAACATCACCTTGGAAAATGATGGGGAAACTGTTGGTAAGATGATGAGCAACGGCGCTCCGCAAGGATCCGTTTTGGGACCACTTATATGGAATATTGCATTCGACCGACTTTTGAAGCAAGAAATGCCGGACACGGTGGAAGTAGCAGCTTTTGCTGATGATGTGGCTTTCGCTATAAAAGGAAACTCAAGAAGAGAAATTGAGGCCACAGGAAACAGAGTTGGTGAAATGATACAAAATTGGGCAAGTGAAACCAAGATGGAAATCTCGGCCAACAAAACCCAAGCAATAATACTAAAGGGCAAAATGCCAGGCAGGAATCCAAACATCAAACTGACAGGACAAAATATAACCTTTGTGAGAAAAGTCAAGTACCTTGGGGTTACACTAGAACAAAACCTGCTATTCCAGCAACACGTAAAGGAAGTTGGAACCAAGGCGGTAAATCTATTTGGCAAGCTCACCAGGCTGACCAGGCTAAAGTATGGAGTCAAATTCGCAAATCTCAACTTTCTATATGGTACGGAACCACTCCGCACAGTGCTCTGTGCGTGTTAACTGGAAACATTCCAATCGACCTCCAAATTAAAATGGACAAAGAGACTTGGGAGATCAAGAATGGAATAAGAGAAGAAACCAAGAGTTTGGTCAAGACCAGGCACAAGATCAGGTGTCAGCAAGAGTGGGAAGCAGCCGTCACTGGAAGGTTCACGTATGAACTACTGCCCAACGTCAACAACGATATGAAGATGGACATACAACTTGCCACGGTTCAACTCCTGACAGGCCATGGTCCCTTCGGCACCTACCTACGAAGATTTGGAAGATCGGAAACGGACGAGTGCCCGGACTGCTTACTTCAGGACCATCCTCACCATGCAATCCTGGAATGCCAGAGGAACGAGGACATCAGGAGGGAGCTGGATCTTGAGATAGATGCTGCAAAACACCCAAGGCCCTGGAACATCACATCACTACTACAAGACAGGAAGATAAGAACAACACTCTTCAGACTCACTACAAAACTCACAGTGAACTTCGGCTCCGTGGGTCCCCCGGCTAGACTTCGTCGCTGGATATGGAAACAGAACGGGCTCTAACAACCGCATGAAGCATGACACACACTAACAATCACAAATCAAAAACTAAGAGATTAAAAGATACAAATATAAAGTAAAAATAACCAAGTTAGGCAGAATGCCTAAGGAAGAAATGTAAACTGAGGTATGTCGAGAGACTGGTACTTGGTTAAGATAAGAAAGAAATGAAAAAAAGTCCCTATTAACTGCCGCGGGCCACAGTGAACAAGGGTACGATATACATGCTAACAAGTTGATACATGCGAACTTCTATTAACTGTGCTTACAGAAAAGGTTAATATTCTTGTGAAAATGTATCCCAAACGTACCCAGAAATAGGTGTGAAAGTCCAGAGAGGAAGTTCACTGTCGCGGGTACTTCGGTACTCTGCGGGACATTGTCCCAAAACGTTGGCACCCCCTCACCCTACTTCAAAAGACAAAAAGAAGACTTAGTTCCTACCATCACTGGCCAACCCTACCTTTCCGAGGTCGCGGCTATCCACGAACTCCGGGTAACCCTGAAGAACTAGGGCAATAAAAATCCCGTGACACGGCCAACCAGGGGCGGCTCCAGAGGGTAGGCCAGGTAGGCCCGGGCCTACCCAAAATTTGGGTTAATATTATAAAATTATAATTAGGCCTAAATAAAGAAATGATATTTAATAAGGAAAGATAGGTACAGTGCAGTCCGGCTAATCCGAACTAATTGGGACCGAACCCCGTTCGGATTAGCTGATTGTTCGGATTAGCCGAAATAACGTAAATAATCAAGATGGAAGCAATTTTAAGGGGTCGTAGTGTCGTAATATGAACGAGCAATACACAAAAACCAATTTTAATAGTCCATTTACTACAACAAAATTAAAAAAAAAACAACAGTTAAACTTAAATAAGCGCATCAGTTGTGCAATATCTAGCGTGTCAACAATCAACTAGCGTAGAGCGATATGAACGGGTGGGCAGACGTGTATGATGTGACGATAATGCGTGCGGACTGTACGTCGGCACGCACTGCTTACCGAGACTGTACACAGTAGCCTACACGTCTGCCCCGTTCTGCCCCCCTCCCCTCACCAATACACCTAGCTTAATTGTCAGAATCGCAACACAACAACACCTTGATCTAGTCTGCTTTTGTTTACGTAGTGCGGTCAGTCACCTGTGGATTTGCGTGTGTACGGGTTTTTAGTGTGATAAGTGCAATGTCTAACAAACGTAAACATAACACTTTGACTCTTAAAGATAAGCTGGAAACTTTAAAACGTTTGGATAATGGTGAAAGTGTGACTAAACTAGCGAAAGAGCTGAACGTTGGCAAAGCTACAATTTGCGACTGGAAAAAAAACCGTGCGAAACTTCAACAATATTGCACAACGTCTTCAGAGGTAACCCTTGAAAATCGGCAAACGGCGCGACAGTCGCAGTATGATAAAGTTGACGAAGCGCTTTTTCTGTGGTTCTCGCAAGAAAGGGAAAGGGGAACCCCTTTAAGTGGACCTATCGTTCAAGAAAAGGCAATTCAGTTGAACAATCTGTTAAATGGCGACAGTTCCTTCACAGCCAGCACCGGTTGGTTTGACCGGTGGAAAAAACGTCATGGTATTCGGCAGCTAACTGTCACCGGTGAACAACTTTCCTCAGATCAGGCTGCAGCGCAGGAATACCTTGCTTCATTTGACAATTTAATAAGCGAAGGAAATTATTCCCCCCAACAGATATATAACGCCGACGAAACCGGCCTAAATTTTAGAGCACTGCCAACTAAAAGCTTGGCCTCTAAATCAGAAAGTCGTGCTCCTGGTTTTAAAATGTGTAAGGACCGAGTAACCATTATGGCTTGTTCCAATGCTGCTGGTAACCATAAGCTTCCTCTTATGATGATAGGCAAAGCTGCTAAGCCTCGAGCCTTCAAGCATATAAACATGAAGTCACTTCCAGTGTATTACAGGAACCAGAAGAGAGGCTGGATGGACGGGAAACTGTTTAAAGAATGGTTCCATGACCAATTCGTACCATCTGTTAAACGGTTTAGCCAAGAAAATGACATTCCCCCACGTGCTATTCTTTTGCTAGATAATGCACCGTCCCACCCAGATGTCGACGAACTAACATGTGGCGAAATAAAGGCAGCCTTTTTACCTCCAAATGTGACGCCATTATTGCAACCAATGGACCAGGGGGTTTTGCAGGCTCTGAAGCTTAAGTATCGCAAACACTTTTTAAAGTCCCTAATTGAAGATGATACAATTCCCTTGGTTCAAAAAATTAAACAAACGAACGTAAAGGATGTTGTGTATTGGGCAGCTGAATCTTGGGAAAATGTGACAACTGGGGCGATAAGAAAATCGTGGAAAAAGTTGTGGAAATCGTTAGATTTTGAAGAAACCCCTACCGAAAATGACCCAGTTAACTTATTACCAATGATTCGAAACATTCCCGGCTGTGAAAACGCGGAAGAAGAGGACGTGGATGAATGGATGGCGGCAGACGGTACTAGTGCAGAGACTCAGACTGACGATGACATCGTAGCAGCAGTGACGCAAGATCATGTTCAGGGAGACGAGGGGGAGGGTAGTGATGACGAGCCAGGGGGCGGGGGAGGAGAGGAGAAAGTGACTCACAATGAGGCAGCTGCAGCGCTTGACCTTGCCCTTCGCTGTTGTTAGAACAACAGTCTACTGCCACGCCTGCAGACGTGATGTTCATGAGAAAATGGCGGAACTACGCGGCAAAAAACAGACTTACTAAACTGCAGCAAATGACAATGCGGGACTTCATGTCCAATAACAAGTAGGCCTAACCAAAGTTAATTTTTCAGTACGGTATGTGCAATATTTCTTACAAAATAATTCTTTGTTTTATTTGTTTTTTATTACGATTTGTAAATTTAAACTTTACGTAATAAACAAACCATTGTATTCCTTAATTGATTACTCTGTTTATACTTCATTTCAAGATGTTTTACCTTTCCCATTGTATTTTATATAGTGCAAATTTATTAAAATTAATATCGGGAACGTGTTCGGATTAAGCGGACGTTCGGATTAACCGTGTTCGGATTAGCGGGACTCAAGTGTACTTGCAATTGTCAAGTGAGTTATAATAGCTACGAGTGATTTAGTTAAAATTTTAAACTGCGTTAGTTTATGCTCCTGACTGGCCAATGGCGACTGCTCGACGCTCGTTCGTGTACTGCGTACTGTACTCGCTGTTGATGGTGTCTGAGTCTGACGCCAGACTGCTCCCGCTCTCGCACTCACACAAAACAACACACTGACTAGTGACTACAGAGACACGCAGCCGCTGCCCGCCAGGGGCGCCACTGTCAGTGTCACTCAGTAGTACTCGATGACAGCGAACAACAAACTTAACCTATATGTTGCCGTAACACACAAGTTAATCGTTATTCTGCTCTTCGAACTTTGTTCTTATATTGTTTTTGTGCACATTCGTTTATTAAATAGTGTTTTGTGTTCTAAACTCAAAGTTCTGTGCCATGGAAAAGTTTTTAGTGAAATTTAAAAAGGCTTTATCTTCATCAAAGACGAACAATGAACAGTCCATTAGGCCTACATGTGATGATGATGGTGAGTCTTCCAGCACTAGTTCCAATGTTGAAAAGTCAGTTTTAGAATTAGATGACAATGACACAAATCTGCCTATATGTAAAAAGTTAAAAGTAGATGAACCGTCCATTTCGACTAGTAACCAAATTAGAGGTCCACTAGATCTTAGTGCATGTGCTTCTGACGGACCCAAACAACCGATGCTTAACTTCCCTAGGCGAAATATATCAGGAAAGCAAAGGTCTTTCCAGAGCTTTTGGTATTCTCAATATTCCTGGATAGAATACTCAATTGAAAATGATGCAGTATTTTGTTTTTTTTGTCGACATTTTTCTATTCTCAGAAAGGAAGTTCTTACTTCAGCCGGATATAATGACTGGAAAAATATAATGAAAATGGCAGAAAAACATGAAAACTCTAATGCCCACAAGCTTTGTTTAACAAAGTACAAGGGATGGCTGGATTCTCAAAAAACTGGTGCTGTTTCAGTTAAAATCAATGAACAAATGGCCCAAACAGTAGAAAAAAATAGAGAAACTCTGAAGACACTTGTAAGAAGTGCATTGTTCTGTGCCCGCCAAGGCATTGCACTGAGAGGACACAGGGAGGTACAACCTGGGAAAGCTCATGAAGATCCAGATGACAGTGATGACTCAAACGATTTATTGGAAGACCGCCCCGAAAGTATGAATCATGGAAATTTTCAAGAATTGGTCAATTTGCTTTGTATGGAAAATAGCCAGTTCAATAGTAATTTAAAAAACCTTCCTGGAAATGCCAAATATACCTCTAAGACTATCCAAAATGACCTTTTAGATGCAGCCTCAAATGTAGTCACTCGCAGCATTGTTAATGAGATTAAGTCTAGCAACATATACAGCATTATAGTTGACGAAGCTCGAGATGAAGGAAAAAAAGAGCAAATGTCTATCTGTTGCCGTTACATACATCAGGCTAAGATAAAAGAGAGGTTTCTTGGGTTTGTTGAGTTACAAGAGCTCACAGCTGAATCTTTAGCGATCAAGATATTAAGTTTCTTGGAATCAAATGGTCTAGATATTAAGAATTGTGTAAGCCAGTCGTTTGATGGAGCATCTGCCATGTCGGGAAAACTTAATGGAGTGCAGACATTAATCAGAGAAATGGCAAAAAATCCTTGTCCTTACGTCCATTGCCATGCACATAGACTCAACTTGGTCTTGGTTGACGTAGCCAAGAATGTGCAAATAGTTAGGGAAACAATTGGCCTATTAGAAGCAATCTATGCATTCCAATCCAGCTCCACACTACGTCATAAACTCTTCATTTTCTTCAAAGAGACTAAAACAGGCAAAAAATCAATTACAGTACCTCAACACAGCGATACAAGATGGGTAGCAAAGTATAAAGGAGTAGAGTTCTTTAAGAACAATCTTGACTCTGTCATTAATGCTTTGAAAAAATGTACAGAAAGTTCAAAGCCAAGAGAAGCTGCTGAGGCTCGGGGCCTCTTGATCCAAATACAATCGTTTAACGTGACTTTCACTCTAGTTAGCCTTGAAGGTGTCTTAAAAATTGTGAATATCCTCTCAAAACAACTTCAGTCCTCGACCATAGATGTTGGCAAGTGCCGAAAGCTCGTAAAAGCAACAAGAGATCAGTTAGAGGAGTTGAGATCTGACGCAAAATTTGAATCCTTTTTTCAAGAAACTGCACAATTGTGCAATGATTGTGAAATCGATCATGCAAGGGCAAGAGACACTGGCCGCCGTAAACAGAATCCAACAGCAAGCCTGGAAGATTATTTCGTCATGGAGACTACTGGGAAGGGACGATACACACAGAAAGAAAATCCTAAGACAACATTGAAAGCAGAGTATTTTCATATTCTTGATAATATGATATGTGAAATGGACAAACGGTTTGCCGAAAATGACATTTCAATTGCTTGTATTTCAGCCTGTAACCCAAAGTCACACGATGTTTTAGACCCAAAAGTGTTGTGTAACTTCTCAGAGCTGCACGGGAAAGACTGTGACTTCACTTCTACCTTGAAAGTGCAATGTGATTTAGGTAAAACAATGTTCAAAGACTCTAAAAGTAGCATGGACGTGTTGAATGATTTATCCAACTTCCCATCTTTCGATGAACTAAAACAAGTAATGACGATCGTGTTGACAATGCCCGTCTCCACAGCTACTGCTGAAAGGTCATTTTCTACTATGAGGAGAATTAAATCAAACTTAAGGGCTACAATGATGGGGAGGAGACTACACAGTTTGGGAGTGTTATCTATTGAAAAGGAAGCAAGTTTAGAACTTCTGAACAACCCTGATCCTGTAATTGATGAATTTGCTTCTCAGAAAGGCAGAAGATTGCAGTTTGTAATGAAATAAATAGTTTGTTTGAATAATGATCACACAAATTATTTACTTATCAGGCGAGCTGAATTCTGAACTGAGTGTTATTACTATGTTGTATAATCAGGGGTGGCTCCAGGAATATTTTTTTGGGTAGGCCAAACACAGGGACAAGACCGGGGGGTCTGGGGGTATGGAAAACCCCCCAGGAAAAAGGGGGGGTCCGGGGGTCCTCCCCCAGAAAATTTTTGAAAATTAGACCTGTAAAATCGAGTTTTTAGGCCATTTAGAGACATAATTAAGAGATTTTTTAGTTGTATATAAAATGTTAATTGTAAAAAAAATCACATTTTAAGGTCCGCTATCAAAAGGTACTTAGAAAAAATTAGTAAATTTGTATATTTTATTATTGCTTTGGGAATTATTGACATATGTTTGTTAATAAGTTATTGCGGAGCCCTTTTGACGGATCTGCACCAAACTTCACACAAACCACCCTTGAATAATAATCCTAATTAAGCATAATGGATTATGCTTAATAATGCCTGAAAGTGTCATTACAATCTGTCGAGCGGTTTCGGAGTCCATAAAGGACAAACATACAAACATACATTGGATTTTATATATTTTATTAGTATCTAGGTTTTTTTTTAATGGTTTGAAAATTGCATTTAATATTTTGTTTATCGTTATGTATGGATGCCAATTTTGTTAGTTTAAAAAATATTTAGAGAAATACACTATGATAGTTGAAAAACGGTGGTTTTTAAAGAAAACACTTATTGCCTATAACAGTCACATATCTATTACTAGCATTAATAATATTTTAATCAAAATTAATTATACAACATAGTAATAACACTCATAGACACTCATAACACTCATATCCATGACCCGTGGGGTCATGGATACAGATGCCTGACAGGTAGGGCTAAAGTGGATCAGGTGCTGACGGGACTCTGTGTACCAAGGCGCACTCCTCTGACTTCGGTCGAGGAGGTGGCCGAAGCCTTGGTGCGGCAACTCCTCCCTGACGACGACCCGGCTCTCGATACCGAGGCCCAGGCTCGTGTAAGGGATAGGGTTGCTGCAGACGCACAGGGGGTACCGGTGCCGCCTTTCACTGAAGCAGAACTTGCCTCCAGTCTCGCATGAAAGTGAGTGGAAGGGGAGAGTAATGTAGACTGGATAGTTACAGTTGTTTTTTGCAAAAGGAGAGGGAAAAAGGAAAGGAAAGCGAGAGAGGAGAGACTGGCGAAAATGGGCCGAGAAGGCTCGAGGCCAGATAAAGGAAGAACAGGGGTTATACCCCATCGACTGTCCCTATTAACTAACCATCATATCTATGGTTTGCACACATGGTAAACCGGAATGTGAAGAAAACACAACACAGACTTTCAGACTAGATGATACAGAACTTGGTGCTTTGAAAGCAAAACTTCTCGACAGCGTCACCGACCCACCTGGATTAAGAGATGTCAAGAAGCGTGCGCAAGATCACCTACCAAAATGTTCCTTTCACAAGAGATGTGAAAATCCACTACATCAAAGCAGGACCAGGATGTGGTAAATCTTAAATTATTCGAAAACTGGCAAAAGAAAATGATCTTGTTCTCGCACCATTCACAAAACTAAAACAGATTATGAAAAGTTGACAAACGACCAAGGGGTTACTTACGATCTGACATTTAAGACGACACACAGAGCAATGGAAACAAAAGGGTTTTGTAGATTCTTTGATGATGAGTTTACATCTTTTCC